TATATATATACATATATGTTGAGTACGCCTACTGCCTGCCGCTGCATTATATCAACTTTCTCATTAATTAACGTTGCTGCTCGTGAGGTTTCTTTTGTTGAGCAGCACTGAGCGTCTGCACAATTGTATTTGATTACGGCTGTCATTCAATATATGCATTTGCTTTTCTTCTTGGCTCATTAAAACTGCAAATTAAGCGCGAAGCATCCGGAGACATATTTCAAATTCATGGCCAAGCAAGTGTAAAGCTCAAAATAAAATTGAGAAACGAACGAATTTGCAAAGAAAATTCGCATAGACAGCTGCTGCTTAAGCCTTTGACTGACTTGAGCTGCTTACTGCTTACTTTGTTCTATTGTATTCAGTCATTCGACACAGCTTAACCTATTTGGCTTTCAAAGTTGGTTTTTACCTGTGCAATTGTTGAGTTCTACATTGGGCTGGCGTACGATGCGTATGCGCACTTATTCAATTTATCTTTAATTAAGAACGTTTATGATTGCTTTTGTGTATGTGTGTGTGTGTGTGCAAGTGTGTGGGCGTTGCATTTAAATGAGATCAATTCAATTTTAATTTAAAGCCAAAGCGCGCAGCAAACGAGGCGGCTTAATGCGCAACATTTTGATTTTAAAAGCGCTGCCCATTGGAATTCATGAAATAAAAATCAGCAGACATGAACAAATACAAACACATACTCAGTACAAGCATATGAATGCATTTGCATGCAGGCTGCTTAATGCAAAATACTTAATTATGTTGAATAATTGAGTTGTTGTTGTTATTGTTGCTATTTGCGCAAACACTTTCGCCATCGCGCTGCAAATGCAAAGCTTTTAATGCACAGGACAACCACAAAGCAACAGCAACAGCAACAACAACAACCGCAGTTGCAACAACGGATGCGAACAGTCGTTGCGGCGATTGCAACATTTAAATATCAATAAATGTTTGTTTGTTTTTATGCCATGGCTTTTAATTTAATTTAAATAACGCGCTATCGTCTCGCCTCTATACAATGACGTAGCGAAGCTGATGAAAAATGCATGCGCTGCACAACACTGGCCAGCGACGGCAATGCAGTCTCACTATTTACACTTTCATTACGTCTGTATATACAATCACACACACATACACCTACACAGTACACTAAATACGAGCATAATTTTGGCACTCAAGGCAACTTTAGCTTGATGTTTGCCCATTACAAGCAACTGCTATAAAGCTAATACATATTCAAGTAATATATGCGTGTGTGTGTTTGTGTAATCGTAAGTGCATTGTGCTGATGCATGACCGCCAATTTAAGCCCATTGGACCCATTTTGCTATTTTAGCTGGACAAACATCATTTCCAGAACGATAACACACTCGTCTCTTCAAACTATGCTAAGCGATAATTGTGCAAATGTTGTAGTGCAATCAGGCGATTTGAAAGCAAATTTGTTGTCATTTGTAGTCGAGTGTATTGGTTTTGTGAGCTAGCAGCCCAACGTATGCCCTATTTAATTATTAAGCTAGGCTAACAATCCAGTTGAAGTAGCCAGCCAATTCAATACAAATAATTATAATTTAGCTTGGACACTCTACAGCACTGTTATTGAAGCTGGGCTGTTATTGAAGCTAGGCTAATTAAATGAACTTGTTCCGAAAGCAGATACGATGTATGTATATCGAAAATATGAAAATTTGAATTGTTTAAGACTGATAGCACTAACCAGAGAACACATAGACTAGACAACTAGTGGAAAGCTTTTTGCACGCTTTTTTTGAGGCTTTAACACCCCAGACAGCTTTGGACTCGCTCGGCTCCTTACTTTTAGGTTCGAGCTACGAAAATTAATGATTAATGATTAATGATTAACTAAAGTAACAAGTGCACTTCCTATTACTTTCACAGGTATTTTTTAATTGCATGATTTTTATGACATCTAACAGATGCACTCTTTACAATTGGTCCATTTAGCCAGTATATGTATGTATGTACATACATATGCTTCTTATTAAAAAGGTAAATTTCACCTGTATATGTGCAGGTACAAGGGATCGAAAATCGCATTCCAATTTGGCCACAGGGATTGATCAGGTACTACATTTTTAGCAAANGAGAGAGAGAGAGAGCAAGGGAAACATTGAGCATAGAGGGATCTTTTGTTCAAAAGTTGACCATCTCGGTCGAGCGCATGAAGCGAAATGATTGTGCGTTCGTATTTTTTCGTAGCTCGAACCTAAAAGTAAGGAGCCGAGCGAGTCCAAAGCTGTCTGGGGTGCTMAAGCCTCAAAAAAAGCGTGCAAARAGCTTTMMACTAGTTGTCTAGTCTATGTGTTCTCTGGTTAGTGCTGATAGTTAAACGACACTATCGCATGTTATCTCGCACTGTCAATCGCTATAAATCGAGTTTAACAGAACTAATAAGTGCAATTTCTTATAGCTTCATCATTTTATGATTCGAAAAATTCTTTATTTTTTGTAACTCACCTATTTATCACGATAATATGACTGCGCACTTTGACAGCGGCCATATGCTTTAGAGTCTCTCGCAAGCAGCTCGCTGTGGCCACAACATTCAAATCGAACAATTCTTTTATGTCCTTGGTGGGCGACTCTATATATAGGAATGGATTCATATTTAATTCACCTCGCACACTCGCTGCACTTACCGCTCAGAAAGCTGGCCTTGAGTATGCCCGCATTGCAGATGAGCACATGAATGCAAAAGAAACGCTCGCGTATCCAGTTGAAGGCACTGATTAGTTGCTCATCATCACTGAGGTCGCATTGACGAGCAAAGATCTTGCCCTCACCCGTTACTTGTTCGTTCAGCGCCTACCACAACGGGTTAGCTTTAATAATGGCATTATAGGAAATTTAAGTGAGCACTCACCTCGATGAGTTCAACGCGCCTGGCCAGACCCACCACGACCATGCCCGCATTGGCCAGAGTCAGCGCTGTGCTGGCGCCAATGCCCACCGAAGCGCCCGTGATGACAGCCACCTTATTGCGCCAGTAGAAGTTCTCCATGCCGCTTGCTAGACAGATAGACAAAGAAAGAGAGAGGGAGACAGAGCCCGTCAGAGATAACCCAAACAGCTGCGTGCACCTCGAGCAACTGATGTGCGGAGGCTGAGCGCTATCGTCCCCCAAGCAATCGCAGCAGCTGCCTCAATCGGCCGCTGGCTTTGCCAATTGCACAGTTCAGCGTCTGCGTCCGCTTCGATTGACTTGGCGAACTTGCAGTTCTCGCATTTAATTATTTGCAATTTACTATTGTCATATTGTTATGGACTTTGGGGCTCTCGTAACCCCGCTCTTCAGCGGATTGCACTCTCAATTAATCCAGCTGGATACCCTCTAAATAGAGTTTGGTACAATATGAGTATTACATTGATAAAGGTTCTATTTTCATATATATTTAATAAATTTGTAATATTGATAATTATGCTAACATACAATATACAAATGTTAATTCTATGTTAAAATAATCAAAGTCTGCATAGCGAATATATCTTGAATTTTCTCTCTTTTCATAAGCCGCTTTAGTATCAAGCAGTCGACCGACTTTGGCACCATCAAATGCAGGGTATTTTCAATTTAAGCATAGTTAACATTCTTACCTGTGTTCTAGCATTCTCACTCAAGTTAGTTTCATGGAAATTTGATACAAAATGAAAATCCCTTTACACTTTGCGGTTTTGCTTTGGCTTTGTCACTAATCCCTCTTGGCTGGCACTTGCAGCTTATGCATTTTCATATTTCATAACTAACCGAGTCATAGCCGAGCCACAGTAAGCACTGGCTAAAGGTTACATGCATTTTTATTACTATTTCCACATTTTGTGTTGCACCCCGTAGACCTAGCCTATGGGTATATCATGTAAACCATATATATTCTATTTGATTGTGATAGTGTCGTCGCTTGAAGCATCTTGAAATGGTTTCGCTCATGCGTTAAACCTTATCATATTTTTGTTATTGCTCAACAACAGCTTTGGTTTCAGCTGCTTGCCGCATTCTTATGGCCTCCCGGCAAGCACCGAGCACTTGCCACGCCCGACTGAATCCGGAGCAGCAAAGCCGCTGTCAAGAAAATCAGAGATGATATTTATCAGCATGCAGCACAAAAGTACCCAGTGCGTATTCGAATATTAGATACCCTGTTTTATTAAAAAGTCTCTTGTGAGAGAGATTAATGTTGCGAGACGACGAACACCGTTAATTAATTATCTTGATATGCTTAACAGACACTGTTAATCTACAGGCTGTGCTGGGATTTTTCAAATATTAATCGATAGACAGAGATCTGGCTCTGATAAATTCAACCGATAAATGATTCATTTTCATTTTTCTGCATTGAGATTCAATTTGTATAAAAAAAAACTACAAATCGAATATATACAAATCAAATACAAATCAAAAGCAAGTTTATTAATATGATATGTCATAAATAAGATACCCCAACTGCACTTCGTATGTATTGCAAGGAAATGAAGCGACAATTGTAAAATGTAAAATGCAGAATGAAATTCAAAAATGCATCTAAAAATGCACTCAACTTGGGGTTTTGTCAGAGCAGCCTTGCAGATGACAGCAATAAAATGCAGGTGCAGGTATCTCAATCTCAATGGTAACCGAGACAAGTGGTCTTTTGTTTGTATGTATGCTTGCATGCACAACCACAACACTCAGGTACAGATGCCAACGCTGTTAACTAACAGCAGTTTCAATAACATTTGTCTGTCTACGAGTAAAGGAAACTTTGATTAAACTGCTAGCAATAAACAGTTGCCGACGGCTATTCAATTTCAGTTTTTCGGCCTGATTGCCACACACCGACACACATACACACCCACATATATAGCCTGCCACATTTTGGTGGCAGAGTCATCAAAGTGGCAGCCATTTAAGCTAGACAAAAGAACAATTGCAAACATTTGCCTCACCCTCAAATTGATAGAAAATTGGCGGGGCCAAAGTGTATTTTATAGTTTTGCAACAAATTTATTTGCTTTCAGTTAGTTTTTTTTTTATTTTATATATGTTGTTTTTATTTTCCATTTGATTTTGCAGCAGTTGTTGTTTCGTGCATAGCGGCGAAATTTATTGTTGCATACTTTTCGGCTCAGCGCGCGAGCACACGAGAAATGAAAAAATAAAAAAAATACAAGAGCAAAATCGCTTGTTGCCACATGTTGGGGCATGTTGTTCGCTGATATTTTTGGTTGGCCTTGTTTATTTTTCGGTTAAGCTCAGATATGCATTTTTCATGGCTGCTGCAGCGCTTTTTGTCTGCAGCTTGGCCAGAGTTACTGCAGCTTTTGCAGTTGCTGTTGTTGCTGCTGCTGTTGTTGTTGTTGTTGTTGTTTCACTCCTTTTAATTGTAATAACATTTGTTGGGCACACGATTTAAATTGCATTTACGTTTGGCAATTGGTCTGAGCTCCACTGCCACTGCCACGACTCCTGCTGCTGCTGCTGTTGCTGTTGCTTGGCTTTTCATATGACTCATACGTCACGTTGGCCACGTCGCGTACTGTCGCTTTCACACAATCTAATAAAAACAAAAATTAAAGAAAAAAAAACATTGCGCGCAAAAAAAAATATTGAAACAATGACAATGGCAATGGCAACGAACGAACGAACTTCACGTCGTCTGACGAAACGGGGCCAAATTAAATTACAAACTATTCTTTTAAGCAAGCAATTTAATTGAATTGCTTCATTCGCACACCCATAGACACATGTTCACTCACACATACAGGAAACGAATGCTTATTGCATTTGAGCGTGCACAAACAATAACACTCTTTGCCATTGTTTTAACAAACATAACAAAACTAAAACAACAAAGTTTTTCTTGTTGTACAATAGCAAAATAATTAAATTTAACTTGGCTTTAGGGTATCTATAACGCAAGAGGCTTAAAGAATTTTGAAAATCCTTTGCATACACTCAAATTATAAAGAAATATTTAGTTTTTATAAGGTTGCAATCACAATTACCAATTAATAATTGATTCGTATTCCTATCTCTTTCATCATCTACTCCTCTCTTTTTCATCTCATTCTATAATCTCGCTCAGCTCATCCAACTTGCAAGTATATTTAGATCACTATCCTTATTTGCATGTATAAATTTGAAATGAAAATACATGTTTTATCCATTACGCATCTGGGTAATTTTCGTTAAATTTATAGAACACGAAATGCTCACAACTAACAATTAATCAAACGTGTTCCAAAGAATTTAATTAAGGCTACGCCCACAGTGACACCTCTATAATTGACACGTAGACAATAGACGAGTTCTAAGCAATTATTTGAGGCGTACGCATCTGGCAGGGGAGTAGAGGATAGAGATAGAGGGTCTCGCAGAGGAGGGATGCAAACCACCAAATGTAAAAGCCCAAAAACTATGCCAACAATTTTAATGTTGAGTGCCAGCCGGTGTTATGGATTGCTGTTGTTGTTGTTGTTGTTTCGGTTGTTGGATAGAGACAACTTTTGATTAAATTAAAATTTATTTTAATTAAACAAGCGTCGCAAATGTCTCATTTACGCTTCGATGATGCGACAGGCAACAGAGCTGGCCAACACACAGATCTGTCTGCTAGGGCACTCTTATGTGTGTGTGTGTGAGTGTGCGTGTGTATTTGAATGACAGAAACAATGTTGCTTTTTTGTTCGCATGTTTTGCGGTCTGCCGACAATTTGTGCGTCGCTCGCACCACCCAAAAATAAAAGAAGCAAATTGTTGTTACCTCTGGCAATACACGCTCAGAGAGTGTGTGACATAGACTATATAGGTGAACAGCTGAGCTTACTTTGTAAGCATTGCGTGTTGTATGGTTGTCTAAGTCCCTAACAAAGTGCTGAGTCAAGGTAGACTTTATGGGAAAGTTGTGAAAACTTTACTATAAGGTATTATAATAGATATTGGACTGTTTTTTCACATTTTTATGATTGTAATATAATAATCATGTATATCTCACTGACGACCAATCGCAAGGGATTCCAAACATACAACAAAATATTTAGGTGACCATATTTAAGGAGAAAGCATGGTGAAGAACATATGTAAATAAAAAATACACACCGAATCAAAGTAGATTTACGCCTATAATATATACAGTATATATAATTAGGGTAAACGTATTTGAAAAACTATAATGCAGATAAAATCCAAAAGATTCTTATTAAATTGAAAAATGAATACTTATAAAAAATATAAAAATTGAGAAGACCATATTTTGGATAAAGCTTACTCATTAACAGCTGCCAACCACGAGTCTATCAAAAATAAAAAAATAAATACAAATATTTCATATCTCCATTTTTTACCTAGTATCAGATCCTGAGCGAGCATTGTGCAGTCATTACCAACCCAATTGCCTCACTTACACTTACATTCATTTTTGTACTGTAACAACAACTGCAATTACATCTATTTAAGAGCCAGAAGTATGCTAACCATTTGTGGCTGCAGTACAAAAAAAAAAGAGAAAACACACACACACACACGGAAAATGAAAACAGAAGCTAAATGCCGCCGCAAGCAGGTTTTTGGGCGTGGGTGGTTGGTGGGCGTGGCGTGGCGGCAGCTACTAAGCGTCGTCTAAGCAGGCACGCCTAAGTGCAGCTAATTAGCTTAGATTTTAGGGCAAGTTGCAAGTTGCTGTTGTGCGCCGCGTCTGCCGCTTAGCGTACGCAAAGTTTTTGGCATTCGCTCGGCCTTGTTGCGGCACTCAATTAGCTTTATCTACGCACCTGGCACAGGTTCAGCTGGAGCTGCAGCACCTGCGGCGTGGCTATTAATTGATGTTATTTATGGCTGACAGACAGTTAGACAAAACGCATAGCGAACGGCTGCTGTTGCTGTCTTGCTGCTGCTGCAGGTGCTCTGCCAGAAGGTGTGCTATGTTATTTTCATTACGCGCAAAGTTTGCGCTTAGTGCTGCCACATCTAGCTGCAAGTGGCTGGCAATTAGTTGCAAACATGTTGAGCATTCCGGAATGCTGCAGCTGCATTCATTAGAAGTTTCCGTAGCGAAGGTCTGATGAGGTCAACACTAATATGCGACTGCCGTTCCCGCCCGCATCTGTCCATCAAAGTGCTAACTAGGCTGCGCATAGTCAAGGCACAGTCAGGCCCATAGTCACTCCGGGGTATTATGATTTGGTTATCTAATTTGCCAGGCTAAT